CACCACCAAAACCTCATCCCTCCTACTCTACAGGCTCCCTCATCAACGAGCTGCTTCTTCTACCTTAAACACACACCCTTTCTCTATTTGCCAAATAATATCTAGGTATCTTTCAGCTCTTGTTTTAAAAGGTTATTATAAATAAATTTCCTTGGCTCTTTTAGTCTAGGTTAGGTACCATTCCACAGAGTTCTCCATTACCCCACTGTGTTTTGTGCATAACACCACATAAACAATCATTGAGTGTAATTTCTTTACATCCCTCATAATACCAAAAGATTGGCAATGACAGGAACTGGGAAGATCTATTCCATTCACTGCTGTATCTCAAGAATCACAAACATCATACACAGCATCTAACATAAAGTGAAAATTCAAATCCACTAAAATAATGATGAATAAATAAAACATGTTTGATACTAATATTCAGGGTTTGAGGAGGATGAAAAAAGAAAGGTAACCTGTTACCTCCTCAGTAAGAACTGTTCACATTCCAGGTCAGAGCCAAGTGTGGAGGCACTCACCTTTAATCCCAGCACTCCATAGGCAGAGGCAGGCAGATCTCTGTGAGTTCAAGGTCAGTCTGGTCTACATAGAGTTTCACAACACCTGGGTCTACAGGGAGACCCTGTCTCAAAAAGACCAAAAAACAATAATAATAACACATTCTAGTCCATTTTAATTCGGTAAGAATTACTGCCTATTCATAGAAGAACCACACAGAATATAAACCAGAATCCACCCCTCAAAGAACATAGTTTTAGAAGGGGTAATAGGATACATACGCCCATGAAAGATAAATACCACTGAGCAGTGTGCTATTAGATTCTAAAGTGTGCTACACAGACACTGCAGCCCAAGGAAAAGATAAGGATGGGGAAAGTAGGAACAAGGGTGCCAAAAGTAGGCATTAGGCTAAACCTGAATAGGTAAGTAAGGTCAAAGACAAAAGACAGAGAGAGACATATCAATTTAAAGTTCCTTGCAGTATCTGAAAACAGCCTCCTGCTAGAAAGCCAGGGATCCTTAAAATCAAAAGTATTTTCATAAGCCTAAATGTCACTTGCCTTTTCACTTTCATTCACTCTCAATTATAAAATGCAGATTTCAAGAGATTCACAGGACATGTGATAGTACATTAGGCCCAACGCAGAAGCAAATATGAGAATACAGATATTGTCTATTAAGCCAAACACTGAAGACATTGGTAAGAATGTAAGTAATATCACTCATTAAATTTTATTTTATAAAGTATTTCTCTTTCCTAAAAATATAGTATTTGTGTTAGCATGTCAGAGAATTACTGATATATTTGAATATTCAAACTTTTAGTTTTCCTTTTTTGCTGCAATTAAAGGCATGCACCACCACACCTGGCTTTTTAGTTTTCATTTTTAGCATGATAAAGATTAGTAGAAAAACCTACATAGCCAAAGCTCTTTGAAAAAATGTAAAGGGGTAGTGAGATCAAAAGCTGGAGATTCAAAGACCTACTTGTTTTTAGAGGTATATGAGGAATTAGCCTAGATTCTCTGTATAGGTAAGGCATATTAAAAATATTAATATATATTAATAATATTAGAAATATTAGGTATAAAATTAGCACATGCATTGCATAACTGGAAAGTGTATTTAGAGTACACACTTCTCAGTTATTTTTACTTAGTGCAAAACCATAAAAAGAATTTTGTAATGTCATTCTTATCCTCCCACCCAAACACATATTCCTTTTAAATTATGATATGCAGGCATTTTATCTGTCTAGAAACTTCACAATTATGCAAATAAATGAAAAATTGCACCCACCATTGGGTATGTCCAAACCTTGACAGCAATTTTCTTTTTTAATATTTTATTTTATTTTATGTGTATTGAGTGTATTGCCTGTATGTATGTGAATGCACCCATGTCATGCAATGCCAGTGGAGGTCAGAAGAGTGTGTTGGATCCCCTGGAACTGGAGTTACGGATGGTTGTTAGCCGCCATGTAGGTGGCTAGGAATCAAACCTGGGTCCACTGCAAGAGCAGCCAGTACTCTCCAGCCCCAGCCCTAGAACTTTTGGAAACCATGAATTCAAAATTATCTATCACTCTAATTCAGAATGTTCTCCTCACCCTCAAACTCCTCCCAAGTGCCATTCATGGTTCCATAAACACAGTAAGACTTGGTTTTCATTAGTGCTTCCCACAACCTGAAGTGATTTTCTCAATTTGACCAAAATTCACCCTTGAAGGGTCAGCTGGAAAGCCAAGCTCATCCACGATTCCTTTCCTTTTTAAATGAACACTCCATACTTATGTAGATGGAGGGTTCTGAACATCCATCAGAGCTCTTACTGAGCTCTCATCACCCTTTCTTTCAGAGGGTAACCTTCTTAAGGGTTAGACTTACCAACCTCTAGTATCCCAGGAAAGATAAGCAAATGCTAAGGAAAGAATAAGGCTCCAATAAGCACCTGCCTGAGGTCACATAGCTAGTGACTGAAGATTTGAATGTTAGACCCCTTGATTCAAAGCCCATACCTTTCTGTCATATCATTTCATGCTCTGTTATGGTTGAATTCAAAATGTGGCTCACAGGCTTATACACTGAAAGCTTGGCCCCTAGTTGGTGGTGCTATTTGGGGACGTGCTACTAATAGAAACTTTAGTTGGTAGGGCCTACCTGGGAGAAGTAGGTCACTGTGGACATGTCCTTGAGGGCTGTATCCTACCCCAGCCTCTTCCAAATTCATGCTCTCTCTGCTTTCTAGCCACAATGAGGTTGGTAATTTTGCCGTGGTAAATACTCTTACCACCATGATGTTCTATCTCACCAATGGTTCATAGCAATGGAGCCAGCTGACCACAGACAGAAACCACTGAAACTATGAGCAAATAAGGGAGCAAAGTAAATCTTTTCTCTGATTAAGTTGTTTTTCTTGGGTTTTTGTCTTAACAAGGAAAAAACAACACACTCCTTTCCTATAATAAATATTCAAGAAATCTAGAAAACCAATAGAAATCAGAATGGTTTTATTCTTAACCTTAGGGAATCTCAAGAAAGAAATCCAGACAAAATAATTTTCCCAGTTCTACTTTCATGTCTGTTGGCATGAAATGACTGTGTGTGTCCCTTCAGCCAACAAAACAAAAGCAATGTACAGTTTCAGGAGAGAACATTCAGATCCACTTCAGTGACTGAAGCATTAAAGGTCTTTCCCCACCACACTTTCCTGGTTCTTTACTACAACAGAAGTGGGGCCAGGATAGTGCCCTGACAAAGTGGACAGATGTTTGTTGAGTAAGTAGGTAAAGGAGTGATAAAATCAATGGTTTATTTTGTTGTTCAGCCCGGACTTGTCTCACTGCCACCTCCTCCAGCTTCAGCATCACCACTACTTTGTTATAGTGATGGTACCTAACAAAGACAACTACATACTGGACTATAGGAGATACAATTGGAAACTATGTTTTTTTTTTTTTCTTTTATGACAACTTCTGGGCTGAGAGTGTAGCTCAGTGGTGGGTAGTTTCCTAGCCTGTGCAAGGGCCTGTGCTTAAACCCCACTGTTAAAAAACAGGGCTGGAGAGATGGTATCATTGTTAAAAGGCTCAGGCTCACAACCAAAAATACAAGAGCTCAGTTCCCAGCACCCATGCTTGTCTCTCCAGCTATTTTTTTAGGGGCAGAAGAGATGGCTCAGTGGTTAAAATCACTGACTGCTCTTGCAGAGGACCTACATTCACTTCCCAGCACCCACATGGTGGCTAATAATCATCCATAACTCCAGTTCCAAAGGATCTGACACTCTCTCTTGACTCCTTGAGCATTACATGCATGGGTGTACATACATACATTCAAGCAAAACATTCTTATACATAAAATAAATATAAAACAAAACAAAAATATTTTAAAAAACTTTTATGGCCATCTTATTTTTATAACATGTCAGTTTGTGGTGCTATCTTCTAAGGAGTTTGTTTCTACTTCAAAAGCATCTCAAGGGGTAATAAGACGGCTTAGATGGCAAAGGCACAGGCTGCCAAGCTTGACAACCTGCGTTCTATCTCTGGGGCTCACATGTTGGAAGAAGAGAATCAACTTTCCCAAGCTGTCCTCTTACTGCCACATATGTGCTCTGGCATATGTGTGTGCCCGCACATACAGACTCTCCTTCCACCATGTGGGTCCCAGGGATCGAACTCAGACTGTCAGGCTTGATCATCTTTACTTACTGAGTCACCTCTCTGGACTAAATAAATGTAAACCTTTTTGTTGTTTTGTTTTGTTTTTTGTTTTTGGTCTTTTTCAGACAGGATCTCCCTGTACCCCAACTAGCCTAGAACTCACTATGTCGACCAGGCTGGCCTGGAACTCACAGAGCTCCACCTGCCTCTGCCTCCTAAATGCTGGGATTAAAGGTATGTGCCACCACGCCCGGCAACTATAAGTGTAAACTTTTTAAAATTTTAAAAATTAGAAGGTAGCAGCAGTCATATGAGCAACATGAGCTCTTAACAGTGAATTCAGGCCTAGATCTAGGTAGTTGGCATCAGAACTGCACTGTAGTTAGGTAACGCACAATAAGAGATACCATTTCCAAAAATACATGTCAGACACTATTCAAATATTTTTATATACATTGTTTCTAAATCTTCACAAAGTATTACTCCCATACTTCGCAACATTTCACAAGACAGAATTTTTATTCTAATTTTACCATAAGGTAACTAAGGAATGAAAGCCCACAGCCAATAAGTACAGGAGACATAATTCAAACTAGGACTGTTAGGTTTCAAAACTCATCTGGTTACTACATGCTTCCATTTCTTATTAGTTATATAAACATATCACAGATAACATGATGAGACTGATGACTAAGAATGTATGACATAATATTTTTACTCAAATTAGAGAGTAAGAGGTCACAGAAAAAAATCAAAGATATTCTTTATGAACTCAAAGTGTGAAACATCATATTTTAGCACAAATTCCTTTAGAAATTGCTTAACTTACCTGTTTGTGTTTTAGAAACATGTTTCTGGAGAAAGTCAACTACCTGAGCCAAAACCTTCTTGTTACAATGTGTTGGTAATCTTTCATCACACTCATAACACCTGAAAAAATGTACAATGTAAGCAAATGCTATGACAGCATCTCGAGTAATTTTGCATGCAAGGTATGTATTTAACAACTTTTGTCTTTAAATTACATAGGATTCAGGAACACAAAGGGGAAGGCACTAGCTAAGCCTAGACAAATAATTAGTTCATACAGAGCCCCACAGTACAAACCAAATTTTATAGTTTGACTTAAGTGTAATCGACTATCATAAGGAGGTTTTAAGGAGGGCAGTGTTATGGCCCAATTTACATATGTGTGTGGGGGGTGCATTTTGTTTGTGTATGTTTTACATTTTTTGTTTTTTGTTATTTCATAACAAAATTTCATATAATTTGCAAATTTCATATAATTTGATGGTATTTAGATCTTCCCCATTTGCACTTCTCCTTACTGGTCCCCATCATATTTAATGCACTCTATTATATGTACATATACATAGATATATATAGTCTAAACTACATCCCCAAATATCCTTCAGTGTGAGTCCATCCACTAAAGTCTGGTTAATCTACTAGGAGTTACATCCTTGAAAGAGACTGACTCTCTCCCTCCTAGCAACCATCAGTTGCCAGTAGTTCCTTAGGTATGGTTGGAGCTTCTTATCCCCGACCCTATGTCTATGCTAGGATTTTGTCTGGTTTGAGCTTGCATGAGACTTGTGCATGCTGTCACCATTTTTGTAAGCTCATATGAGTAACTGACCACCTGTATGGAAAACTGTTTCCTTGTGGTCATCGATCATCTCTGGCTCTTAAAATCTTTCCACTCTTTCGTCTACAATGACCTCTGAGTCTTGTGAGGCAGGAGTTTGATATATCTGTCCTATTCAGGAATAAGTACTCTGCAGACTTGTTCTCTGAACAGTTCTCTGACAGTTGTGGGATCCTGTGTTGTGTTTTTTAAAAAATTATGTGTATGTGTTGTGTTTGTATACATGAATGCAGGTGCCCTCAGAGTACAGAAGAGGGTGTTGGATTCCCTGGAACTGGAGTTTCAGGCAGTTGTGGGTGCTGGGAACTAAACTCAGTCCTCTCCAAGAGTAGTACATGCTCTTAACCTCTGAGCCATTTCTTCAGGACCTATTTTGGACTTTTACAAAACAGAGTCTAGCTATATAGTTCCAGGCTGGCCTGGAACTCACAATCCCCTGCTTATTCTTCCCTAGTGTTGGCATTACAGGTGTAAACCACCATATCTGGTTCCAGTTTATATATATATATTTTTTTCCCTTTGGGCACCTTTTTATTTATTTATTTTTTAATTTTTAAAAATGATTTATTTAATAACAACATACTTAGAAGAAGCATATCATTACAACACAATTGACATATTCAATAACGTTTTCCTGAGGTAGGATGCATCTCTTTCAAAATTGGCTGTAAATTTTTAGGTTTACAGTT